GCATCGTCGTAATAGAGGTTAAATGCTTCTTCATTTTCAGTCATCATACAAATATGATCTCTTTGGGCTGGTCGTTGATGTTTGCAGCCTTCACACTCAGAATTWATCAGTTCCCAAATTTGATACTCACAAAAAGAAGCATAAGAGAGTTGTAAGACCGTTGATATCAGCTCCAGCAGGAAAGCACGTTCAGCCATTTCAACCTCGTCAATCTGAATTCTATTCATTACAGCATAAATCTTCAACCGTTAAAATGTAAATGATAGTAAAGCTAACATTGAAAGTGCTGTTTTATAACTCTCTCTTTTGTTTGGGAGAACAATAGGTTACGTCATTAGTGTGAATAAATTAACTACCTCCTCAAAAAATACTGAATATAATTATTTTCTCCTCACATTTTTACCCTCCTCAAATTTTGTGAGGAGATTTATCTGTGCAGCCTTTACTACTCATGATTTAGAAGCCTATATAATTTATTCACAAATCCTATTAGGGTTTCGAAAATGTCTCTCTTCTATCAATGTTGCCCTAATAAAATTTGAGAAGGGAGAAAAGAAATGCAAAGTCGTACGCGCTGAATTCGCATCTTGGTTCAAATGTTAACTGAAAAGTAAATCCTTGGAAATAAGAACGTTGAAGAAATTTGAAGTACCGATGCCTTTTTCTATTTTGGGATTTTGTGACGCAAAAATATTGTCGCCTGAGAGTAGAACGATTGTATCAAAGAAATAAAAAGCAACAAATCTCATATATTCCTTCTTGAGTTAAATGATAATTTTAATCATTAAAAGTCCGACAAAAAAAACAACAACAAATTATGCGAGCAAAATGACCAAATTATCCTCGATCTTCTTGCTTTGAAATCTTATGGACATAGCAAAATGGGACCCGCAAAATTGTCTTAACAACTGAACAACGTTAATTGGATAAACTGTATATTTAAGAAGCTGCACTGCAAAACTTGTTTGACGAACAATTACAATTTTATCCGTGGACAGTAGAAATAGTTCATTTTCGCAATTTCGTTGGGGAAAAAACTCATGTTAAGATCAATCGAAATAAACCGGGAATCTATCTTTACCAGAGACTTTCAAAGCAAAAACAATAACTTTGAAATTAGAAGTTATCTCTCTTCTCCTTTTTAAGAGAAAAAAAAAGAAAAAGAAAAAGAAAGCGGGGAAATATGACATAATGACAGTGTTACCAGTGAGGTTTTGGATTCTGTTCTCTGATCTGTAATCTTGCGGCTTGTAGTTGTAGTTGCTCACTTGTGATATGACTAGTAGAACTGAAGATACCCCGTAAAATGCAGTGTGTGTTTTTGCTTTAATTTATGTTAATAAATTGATTTATTTCTCAATCATATTTATGAGACAAATCAAAAGAACTTAATTATTACATATATCATAAAGCAGAAATGAATATAATGAGCTTCAAAAATTGAGCATATTACTGTTATTGTTAATTCCTAGTTATGTAGGTTGGTCGCATTTTCAAAAGTTTCTTTTGCAATTTTCGTTCCTATCACTAAAATCACGAATTGCCACGTCTGAGCTGCATAAAAGGAATCGATTCTCAACTTCTAAATGTGAAGCAGTGCGAAATAATTGAATCGTTCCTGTTTCATTTTGCATTTTGAGGTTCTTATGCCTGTCTTTAAATGTCAAGCTGCAGAATTAAGTTATATCTAATGAAAATAATAAAAAATATTTATAGGAAAAGAATGTGGTGCCCAGCCCCTCCATCTCCGCGTCTAAGAAAGTGCCATACGACTGTTTGATTTATACGAGGCAAGAAATTAGGTATGCACTGTGTTGGACTTGTAATTTTCTCCCAATTGCCCACAGATTTTTCTCGAAATTGCTGTTTTTCAAGTTCCTCGCGATAATATTTTACGGTCGCTATGTTGACTAAAAACTACACAGAAATGTTTATTGATATCTCTTCTGTCATTACCCGTCAGAATAGTTAAACAAAATAAACGCTGGGTATGATTATTTTGCAGTTTAAAAGTCACACTTGACGGTTTTTGCCTAGTTTTACTGCAAAATTACCGTCACGAATCAATGCGCGCATTCAAACTTCGCGCTAGTACCATGTAAGGTCCCGGATGGATGTCAGTGAATTCTGCCCGATGGTCACATGACAAATTCTATACATCGAAACGAGGTCATGACACCACAAGATTGAAACTAATTGTGAAAACAATATTGACAAAAGTTATCCACTTGGCAAACAGCATTACAATATTCCATCGTATATTGCTTTTTTTCAAAACTAATTACATTCTCCAATATTATTTACTTCCACCATTATAAACATATGATTTCTACGATTATCACAATTTTTCCTTCATTCGTCTGTGATTTTTACAAACTAATAATAACAATTATTTTGTGCACATCAAACGTTTGCACTTTTCAGCTGCTTGTTGTAATTCATTTTAAATCCTCGTCAACATCATCTTCATCCTCATCATCCTCATCCTCATCAAAAGATCCTTCATTGTATGTGTTTCTGTATTCATCATCTCCGTCCTCACAACCACATAGGTCAGTGCAGCCAAGTCTTGCCTTTTGGCACTGGCATCTGGATGTGGAGCAGTGGTCTTTCACACACCCACATTTCACAAGAGGGTCTCAATGGGGTGGTACGCATCACGACTCACGGCTAAAAATTTGGCGATTTCACGACTCACGACTAATTTTTTCGATTCACGGTTAATTAGATTACTTTTAGGAATTTTTGAATTACGTTTATTGCTTTTTCTTTTTTCTTATGAATAGACTGTGTGACTTATTCGTACGGACATGGATTTTTCTATTTCAAATAAGCCGAAATGCGACTATTTCCATTAATCATAAATTCATAATACACAAAAAAAATATACAAAAAGTGTTAATAGCAGGTATTGAGAACATAGTAGTGACATTGCTTCAGTCCGTGTCTGACATCGGAGTTTACGAAATTTCATCAAGTGTCGCATTTCGATGTATTCTATGCCGGGCTAAATGTGCATGGTAAAATCAGGAAGTTTGTAGTATTCATATTATCATTTGACTCTAAACAAAATTATATAGTATTTTAAAATCGATATCTTATATATTTACTTTAAAATGTCAGATATATGCCATGTCCGTACGAATAGCAAACATAACTCGGACACTCTGTTTAAAAATTGTTCTCAGTTGCGCAATCGCCGCACTGTGAACTTATTATACGTTTAATGAAATCGCGCTTTAAACTATCACATTACAGAAAATATATAGAAGTAATTACCAAATGATTCCGCAGATTTTGTAATTAAACATTAATGCATAGGAAGCTAATTCAAAGACAACAACAAAAAGCAAAAAAAAAAAAAAAGAAATATGAAAAAAGAAGAAAACTTGAGTATTGGGATTCGAACCCATGACCNTTTTTTGAAGCGCGACAATCGCGATTAATTGTGATTTTCATTCAACATGGCACGGTGGCGATGACGTAGCTTTCATGCAATGAATACCAAATATTATATAATTGAGAAGTAAATAATAAATTTCCGTTTTCACTTTGAAAAATAGATCACGCGGGATGTTTCGAGAACAAGGAAAAATAAGGAGAGAGCAACTTGCTTTTATTATATAGCAAGTCCTCAAAAGGTGAAAAATATCGCACCCGGCAAATATTTTTTTGTCGATAGATTCAAATTTCCTTAAAAACATTAGCTATCCAATCAAATCTTTAAATTAAATTGMTGAAATAAAAACTCGGATAAAAAGTAAATTCGTCTCCTTACTTTATTATAGCACCCAAACAACCTTAARATACTTGGCTTACACTTGTTTTTACTTKTAGTGTGCATTGCCAGGGTGRACYTTGCGATGCTGGTCGATGGTTCTGGTAGTATCAAYTACCAGGAYCCCSGAAACTTTGATCGTATAAAAAKGTTTATGAAAAGGATTGCCAGGATGTTTAACGTAGCAAAAGATGGCACTCACATTGGAATAGTCGTTTACTCATCTAACGTGCAAGTCATCTCAACCTTTGAACAGCACATGGATATCAGTAGTTTGGAGGCGGCAATAGATARTATGAAATATCCTGGCATGGGCACTTTAACGGGAAAAGGWCTCAGCACTGTCAAGACAAACTTGTTTGATGCAAGTGCTCGACCAGGCKTACCCAATGTACTTCTTGTCATCACGGATGGTGTTTCCCAGGATGATATCCTAAAACCSTCTGCAAGTTTAMGRAATATWGGTGTGATTATTTTTTCAATTGGYRTTGGCAAACATTTTAACCASAGAGAGCTCGAAGAAATTGCAACTGATCCTGACATTGAACATGTATTTGAGGCAGATTTCAGTACCCTTGATTTACTTGTTSATAAGATTAAAGACGGTGTTTGTCAAGGTAAAGCAATTTATKATCAATAGTTTTTAACAAWGATTATTTTATTCCWGTTCTMCGCAATCTTCCAAGCAGTTGCTTGYTTTGCTTATTACAATGACGAAGTAATTGCTGATAGTGKCACAATCTGTAAATAGATATTTATTTTGATCGCACATAAATGGAAAACTGGATCATATTTACTAATATCACCTTCAGTGTTCCTAACGAAGAAAAGTCTTTACTTTGCTTTTGTCTTCAAAATTACAGGTTCTGGAGGTGCAACCCAGCTTCCTATGGACGATGGTAAGTTGACAATTTGTTCTTTTTGATGATCCATATTTATTTGATTTTTTTGTATTTCTTTTTTTTTTTTTTTTCATTTAACCGTTTTATATAAGTATTATGGCTTTCTTTAAGACCTAACTCGAGACAACCGTTTGGTTTTGGTAATTCTAAATACTTTCTTCGTTTCAACAGCTCAACCAATTGCAAAAGCAGCTTATGCACCATTTGTTCCTAACCCAGGTAAAAMCCGTTATTGTTGTAACTTTACAAAGCATTGTTGAGCATTTGCGAGTTTAAAGGTCTTATATAAGTATTATGACTTTCTTTATTTAAGCCCTAATACGAGATGACCGTAACTGGCTGGCTTGCTGGCTGGCTGGTTTAGTTGAGTTAATTCTAACTTCTCTCTTCGTTTTAACAGCTYACCCAATAGCACCATATGCAGCATCTGTTCCTTACACAGGTAAAACCGTTATTSCTGTAACTTTGCAAGGAATTCCCGTGCATTTGCGAGCTTAAAGAAGAAAATCAGCAGGATAAAATATAGAATATTAAGAAACGARGATAATTATCTTTATACAATCACTCCCTACTAACATAGACTCTATTGCTACTTCCCATTGYTGACACAGGAAAATGCACAGCTAAAGTAGATCTAGGATTCCTGTTAGATGTCTCAGGCAGTATCGAATTATCTGGAAGAGGCAACTTCAAAAGATGTATTGACTTCATCGYACAAATGGTAGATGCATTCATTATTGGACCTCCCGCATCTCATGTTGGACTTGTCAAGTACTCCCACATTGCCAATGTTGAGTTTGACTTCAAAACGTTTACTGATAAAGAAAATATCATTAGGCGGSTCCAGGCAACGAGGTATCCTGGAGGGGGCACATTAACTGGAAAAGCACTTACATTGTGTTTAACAAACTTATTCAATAMAGCTCGTAAAGAAGTGCCAAATATATTAATAGTTATGACAGATGGGAAATCATCCGATGATGTTGGGCCTCCTTCTAAAGCATTGCATGACTCAGGTGTATTRATCTACAGTCTTGGAATGGGAARGAACTTCAATGTCAATGATCTAGAAAAAATGGCATCTGATCCCAAAAGCGAACACGTGTTCACGGCGGATTTCAAGGAGCTTTCTGGCCTCATTCAGCAAATCAAGAATAAGGTGTGCACATGTAAGTGGATGTATGGAATATTGATAGCCATTAGGCTCACACATACAGTGAGTTTTTGTTATATTTTATATGATCATGATATTTTTTTATATTGTTATATAATTGTTGTTTTCTTTGAGATAAAAGAAATTAATGCACAGAGTAAATTTCCTTGGCTAGGTATCTAAGTAACAAAATAACAACAAAATAAGAAACTCGCCAACACTATAATCGCTTGAAACAGAAACACTCGTAAGCTCCAAAACTGAAAATGAATGGGCATAAAAGATTAGTTTTCCATCCTTAATCATTGTATTCAAATACTAATGAATATTTCGAATTATTAAGTAAGCGACCTCCGTATATGGCTGTGTCTGAACACAGAGATTTCTGTATTATATCTTCATATAATGTTCATGGTGTTGTTGATGACAACTGTCTTTTTTGTTTTTTGTTTTTCTTTGTTTTTATATTGTAGAACTCTTCTTCATCTTTGTTTTTATAATTCCAGACTCAAGACCTTTGTTTGACATAATGGGAAGCCATTGATAAACACATAAACACCAAATTCAGAATGTTCCAGAGAGGCTCTAGTCTCAGTGGTCCAAAAGGATATTCGCATGCGCTCACAAAAATGACGATTCCGGCAAAGGTGATCAGGTTACCAAGACTTGTCTCTGAACAAACGGTTTCGGAATCAATAGCCAGATATGCTTGTTGTCTAACAACCCACAAAAGAATCGAAGAAGAGGCTAAAGGTAACAATATAAAGGTTCTAAGCATCACCTTTGGGTCTTTTGTGAGTGGTTATTCTGCCAGAATATCGAAAAAAGAAAGTAAAAGACTTGATTGTTCGTATTGTGCAATAACTTTGGAATTAAAAGCTTGTACGTAATAAGAGCTAAACGATGTCAATCATTTTTTTCTTGGATTTAATAAAAACTCATTCATTGTCAATATCCATTTTGTCAAACACGATACTCATTAATAGTCACAAGAGCACTTTATACTGTATAAGGTAGTCATAGTACTATACAAATTTAAAGCTCTAGACAGTGAAAAAAAAAACAAACAAAGGTTTGCACGCGCTAACTAACTGAAAGTAAAGGTTAGCGCCCTTTTTATATATATACATTATAAATGTGTCGAAAATACATGTTTTTAACTATTATCTATCTTTATGTATAACACTTTTATTAAGTCCAGTAACAATCTATTCAATTAAAGACAAGGAAACGCACGGTTTTCCTGTTATTAATGCGACGTTTTGGTGCATGCCGTAATGAAACCATTATAAAGCAAATGGATGGGCTAACCTTAGACATCTATATGCACGAACTCTGTGAGAAGAACAAATACAAATCTTTAAGTATCAAGAAACACTTTCATCGCATCAATCGTAAACATTGTTCCCTACCTGACAACTAAGAAAGAAAGTGCAAAACTGACGATTAGTTTGACTGTTTGATTAACGAAATGCTCTTCATTAAAGCGAAAAGACCTTCGATTAAAGTTTAAAGTAACTCCTTGAAATCTAGTCTACTAACTNGACATTCTGTGAAGCTGAGGCGGCGAATCGATTTACATTCCGGTTAGAGATTTCGGCTCTTCCATGCTATCCCGATAATTGGCCCTATCTTCGCGCTAACTAAAAAGCCAGTGAGGGAGAAGTTATCCGGCCCCTAGACACTGATGGATAACCCCTTGCACTAACTAGGCAACTATCGAAAGTATAATGTCAAATTGGGGTAGTCTATTCGGTGAAAGTGTCAAGTGGTCTGTTATTATGTAAATGATAGTGATCCAGTGGCGCACCGCGTTAAGGCGCCGCTTGCAAATCCAATGTAGGTTTGACGGTAGCGGGATCGATTCACTGGAGGAGACGTTTAATGATTTTGTTTTTTTCTTTTTATTGTATTTATTGTTTATTTATTTATTTATTTATTTTTGCATAATTGTTGTCATCTCTTGTGTTTCACTTTCCCGAGAACCRTCTKTTTTTTACGAAGTGGATRYATGATCGGCTCCCGCTCAAAGTCTTCGATGTACTAACATACTAAATGAGTGCTAGTTTTGCTTTGACAAAAAAAATCTTTTATATCTTTATTAGCAATCCCAAAAAAAAGATGTCAATTCATATTATAACGTTCTATTTCGAGCAGCTTTAGCTTCTTGTCGCACTTAGCGTGACGAAGGCTCCCGCTCAATAGTCCCCTTCACGGTTACCTACGCCATCTTGAAAGGTAGCCGTGCTTTTGCATCGAAGCGAGACGACTGTTGAGCGTGCAAGTCCCACGGGACTAATTTTCAGGACATTTGCTGCTTGACTATTGTATTGAGACGGTTTCTTCTTATTCTTGCATAAATTATTGTTTCAAGATGAAAAAATATTTATCTGTAAACTTGGCCGCACTGGAAACAATATATTTTTTTCTTACTTACGATTTCTTAAATTAATTATAATATAATTGATAATTTTAAAATTGAAGTACCTTAGCATGTTAAAATTAAAGACATTTATTTATTTGACACATTCCTTTATTTTGACAGTTTTGATATTATTCCATACAGAAATTAATTATAGAACACATACTTTGAGTTAAAATATTTGCTCCCATGAAGTTCGGCTTATTTGCCACGTTCGTGGACATTGGACTCCGTAATGTCACTTCGATGAATTTTTTTTTGAAATACGCGATGACATACACTTGCAAAAAAGCGATAAAAACATTGGAGGTCGCCGGCTTCATTTTAGAGATAATTCTTGCACAAAATCACCAAAATTGTCAAAGAAAAGCGCGCGAAAAGGGGTCGATGCCGTCTACCAAAAAACTTCCCGAAAAATATAAAACACATATCAATTGATCCAAATTTTTCCACAAAAGCTGAGGGCGATAATTGTTAATATTGCTTACGAGACTTTGAAACATTACATGATGTTTTAGGACTTTTGTTCGTGTCAAGCCGCCGCATTCGACGTCAAGAAGAAGTGTCATTTCCAGCCTCTGATGTCGTTTTTTCCGCTTTCACATATGTTATATTTTTCCAAGTAGCCTTCTTTTAGAATAAATAGTGTAAATAGAAATTGGGGTTGCTGGGTTCATTGTTGAGGTATTTCGTCAAGAAATCTAAGATTTTGCTGGCCAACTTGAATTACGAGAAACATTTTTTCTGCGAATCTATGACTTTTTATAGAATTTTGAACATTTTTTCGACTCATCAATTCTTTAGCAGAACTAAGTCTCCCATTTTTTGAACGTGAAGAGAACCACGTACAAAACCTCACGAAAACATAACAAGAGCGGTCGCCATCTTTGTTTTGCGTGATGCAATTTCGTGACAACTTCCGGTTTTGACGTGCGCAGAAAAAAGCGTGCGCTGTAGCAATGCCCTCGAACGTCCTTAATGTTTCCTATACAACGTTTGATTGCCTAACGACTACTGGTCTACATACGACTATTACTTGGGTCAATGGAACTTTGTTGATCAAGCTGATGTGGCCTTTCCCCACTGCAAAGCAAYCTCTTCGCCGCGTCTCTGAAGTCGGACAGACAGACACAATAGATGCAAGGACTGAAAACAGAGTTGACGAGGGGCAAAGCGTACCAGATCAAAAAGAAAAGAACTGGCCAGTCGATRCAAAAATTCATATAAAATGTCATAAAATTCGCAATGGCATATGGAAGATAGCAACAGGAGTAGAGTAACAACGAATACARAACCAACTTMACAGCATTTCTGATTCGTTTTCTTCTTTGYTGTCTCTGCGACTCAGAGAGACTGACTTCAATGGCTTGTGAYTGGGATATTCTTCTCAATGTCAATATACTCAGTAAAAAAATTGTTAAAAAGCACAATAGAACTAAAACAAAATATGAAATGACCATGATTTTCGAAAGCATTTCGTCTTGCATAGAATTTATAACACAAACATTCTCTGAACCAATGATTTCAACTTGACCAAAGCTAAAAGTTAGGCACATATTTATGACGATAGCGATCAACCAGCTACCAGCAACAACTGCCAKGCGTCGCTTTTGTGATAGTGGTCGTGATATTTGTATAGCTTTTCTGGTGATTCTATATCTTTCAATGCTGATGATCAGTAGTGATACAAGGGATTCTACAGTGAAAGCGTAGTAAAAAAACGCAAACATTTTGCATATCACTGATGCATGAGATTGGTCGATGCTGTTCCAAATATTGTGTTTGCGAAAACTGTCCGTCATGTAGTGGTGGAGATGCAAAAATACGAAAAGAGCATCAGAGGTGGCCATGTTGATGATTAAAAAGTGCAAACTCTTTTTTATAGTATACTTTACGGCTAGCACAATGACAAAAACGTTTCCCAAAATGCCAAATCCACCAAGAACCCAACATGTTATAAGTTTTACAGATTTTTCAATATCCAGGTCAGATTCTCTGGGATTGCAGTATCTGTTCGTTCCTGTATAATTGGTTGCATTCATGTTTKTTCGGCCTTTTCCTCTTCTTCTGTTAATATAGTTTTTGAAACAATAAACTCAAGATTTAGAATTGATTGCGACAGTCTCGGATTTTACCGTAAATAAGTCCAAAGATCTACTTCTTTCAATACGTCGACGTTTTGCAACCTTTTTTTCACCTTCGATAGTTAGTCCTTAAAAGTGTCCTTGTTTTATCAATATGCGCCTTAGAAACATACGACGTAGTACTTTCTGTCGTACCGATAAACATTGGCATTATGAAATATAATTTAAAAGCAGAGTGAATTGACACCACTAATTAAAGTTATTAAAATGAACGAAACTGGAAGTCTTCCAGGATATAATATATAGGTGCTAATTTYATATGTCAAGCGTGATTTTTTTTGGAAGTGGGATGTCTAATTTAGCTTGGGATATTGCATCAACTGCTGTTCGCTTAAYTGTAGTAAAAAATGGTCTCACTATTTCGAACAAGTATATTGTACTTCACCGTAATTGGTCAACAGATGGTTCATAGCTTTTCTATATTTTCGCATWCAAAGCATTTATTTTCGGTAATTAAAATTTGTGACATTTACAAAACATTCAAGCAATAAGCAAATATGGAGATGCGTTAAGACTTTATAGAAATTAGTTAACACCAACAACGGATCTTTCGATGAAAGAGAAAAGTTTATCACAAAATTAAACTTCCTGACAAAAAAAAATAAAAAATAAAAAAATGAAAATGAAAATAAAGATAAAAAATAAAAAATCGCAATGAACGATTTCATGAAAAGAGATATMATTAACCTTAGATAAATTGTTTTCTATATGTTTTATATGGGAAATTAGATATTAGATGCTAGGCAATGGTTATATTATAAATCATGCGCAGCTAATCAAGGTCAACCAACAAGCCTTACACATACTGTCAATTCTTCGTTTTTRCTATATACAACACAGCGGCTATTTTGGGAGAACTGTAACAAAGGTTTTTGTCATTMGTATCCATTGTTCATTCCTCCAATCTAGCCGCCGGTTTATTATCTTTTGAATCTCATACGAATATTGGAAAACGATCAATCTTGTGATGAAATTGAATGATCGATCGTTGTCCTAGTTTTATAAGTAAGGGCAGTTTACACTGCCGGTAATTTATATTAATTTTGGAGGTGATATTGCTGCAATCCCAGAGAATTATAATGGTAAAAAATTGTCTTGCAAATTCCTATTCAGTACAATGAGATGAGCAAACTTGGAAACGTCTCATCAGAAGGATAAGAGAAAGTCTTTTATATTTTTTTTGGAAATCGCCACATATCAAACAATTGCTTCGGAGAAAAATTMATTTGTTTGCCAAACTTTTGCTGACCATATATGGTAATCCCTCCTTATAAGGAAGTACGTTAGAAAGTTTTTCTTTTTTTTCAAGTTTTTCCACATTTTAGTGCTTTAAAATGAATAAAACTTACAGAATTTGCAAAGAAATTGYTTTTTAACATGTGGGCCATTACAATTTTGTCATAGTCCCCTTCTATCCTTGAAAATAAGGAATCCCACAAAAAACACAGGTAGCCCGCGCGAATGTCAGAACACTTTCCAGCGTAAACGAGCCTTTAGACCAACATACCGTTGACGATCATGAACAAGTCAAATATTTTTGCTGCATTCGTTATGAGAACAAAAATTGATCAATATTCTACCAAARCATAGCATATAATCTAAAGAGTTCAAATGTTTAGTATATTTTGATCATACTGAAAGAAGATAAGAAGAAAAAAGAATGATATGGTCTGGGAAATGATTATGAAATCAACGTGTAATTCCATATGCTGTATGTTAGAAATACTTCATCTGTATAAAGGTAGAAACTGACAATAACGAAAAGAGTGCTATTGAATATATAAGTACTTACAGACTCTTTTCTACAACACAAATTACCACAGTCATATGGATGACTATGACGTTAACGCTTGATATTTTCCAAAATCTAACTATCTATTTTATGAAATCGTTATTAAACACAGTCGTTCATGGATACACACAGTGAACAGAAACTACGTTGCATTAGTTTTTGACAGATTTATTTTGATTAAATCACCAACCATATGGTTCACTCTTACGAGTTTAYAGAATCTTGGTRTTATAAAGCAATGCTCCTAAAGCCCAGCTCAAATCAAAGCCATTCACTTCTAAAGAAACACGCAAGTCAAACGTGTTAAAATTGATGTGGTAGCCATCTTTCAAAAGCTCATAGAGATAGTTTGCTCTAAAGCAAAGATCTTCTACTTGGAATAAACTAGTGTCTAAAGACTTTGAAGATTGCTTACAAAGCTTATTGGAAACCTTTTTGAATTTCCGAAAGGATACTGCCTGGCCCTGATTTTCTATCGCCCCAATATCTTTCATGACAAAGTAATAACCATTCATTCCCACAAAGTCGCCTTCAAGATCAGGCTGTGCTACATATGGGCATTGTTTAGCATCTCCTTTACAAAATAACAATCTTTTTAAAAGATTTCGGCACTTCTTCCTATTGTAAGCCCCTATAACTACTATTTGCCTATTATTTGTTTTCTGTAACTTCTTGAGGTAGTGTTTGTTATGGCATGGGCTTACCACAAAAAAACGTTTGGAATTGCTAGCGAGGTACTTAAAGTACGAGGCAGTGGCTTGATCCAAACCATATCCGAGGTAGCTGTGGACGTAGAGAGGATAATCTTTTCCTGCAAGGTGCACTTTAACTGTTGGGACTCCTTTTCCCACATGAGATACCTACCAAAATAATAATAATGATAAAAAAAAAAGAAAAAACAAGGAAAGTCTATATCTCGTTAAACAGGGCCTAAGAGACAAAAGCACAGCGAAATTATCTAGTTAAACAATGCGTTTCGCGTGAAGTTAGAAAAATAGTCGGGTTCTGGGGCTACAGACGAGTGGCTAGCAGATTGATTGGTAGGTCGTCCTAATACCGGCCGATCCTTATTAGCAAGTATCAATGAGCCCGTGACAACATATGGGCCCTCCCGGCCCTATTAGCTCCCCGTGGAATAAATGGTCATCTCTGCATATGCATTTTTAATAAATATTAATATATGACTTACTCGGTAAGCATTCTGTGTTGATGCGCCACCCAAATCGAGAGCACCCAACGTGGCAATTTTGACACTTGGAGAAAATCTTCCCTCCAGGAAGTTAAGAGTTATCCATCCATATATGCCCTCCTCTTCCCCTGTTATTATCCGTGCATCACCTTTACGGTAGGAGAATGGGCAGAATTTCTTGTCCAAGAAAAGTCGGTCGACCTCATTAAAAATTGCTTCTTGCTATTGAAATTAAAATTAAACATATTTTTAATTGTAAAAATGTATGCTTCTTTTAAGTAAACTAATGATCTCAAAGAGTTTATAATGCTTGCCAGATTTGTTCCTGAGATAGTGAATTGGTTAAAGCACGTAGGCTTATAGCCCGAAGGGGGGAGGGGAGGGGGGTACTCCCATATATTTGCTATACGGGGACGTGCCGCTGGCCAGGGTATGGTTTTTGGCCTTGCTGTCTTAAACAGGGTATACATTTCACCCGAAATTGTCTTAAACAGGCTCTACAATTTAGATAAAAGAGACCGATATAATTTTTTTGTGTGTCTTGGACAGGGTAATATTTTCATAACACCGTAGAAATACCGTTTCACTGTCCCAGAATTAACGTGTTATCAAAAACTNTAATAATAATAATAATAATAATAATAATAATAATAATAATAATAATAATAAATAATAAATGAAATTTATATAGCGCCCTCACACTCGATTGCGCTGAGGAGGGCTTGCCGGATCAATGACGATATCAGCAGGGATCATAGTACTTTATCCACTTTACAGGAGGAGCCAACGGGGTCTGTTCTTCTACATAACTGTTCTTGTTCGAATTTTTTTCTGGGAAAGGAAATTTGGGCTACATTGTTGACAATCTCACAAACAAATGTGGCGCACTTCGACGCACTTCCTTCTTTAAAATAATTTTGTTCCTGCCAAACGTTTTTATGGTCAAAAACGGCCGATATCTTTTTTAGTTAGGAATTTTTTTTCCTGGCAAAAACTCTTAGAAAGTATTCCTTGCCTGTACAGAATTGTAAAGTGATGTATCATTAAGTGACAAGTATATGACTCGTCAATAATGTCCGCTTTTGTTTGTTTCCTCATAGCAAAAAAAAGAGAATTTGCATCCAATTTTCGAAAGATCACGTGATATATAGCATCAGCTTCATTAATTGACAGCACATGTCCAAAAAGTTGCCTAGAATTCTTTCGTTTAACGGGTTTCAATGAGTTCATGCAAACTATCCACAGTCAACCTTCTGTCTTGTTTGTATTCACGGTTATTACTCAACAGCTAGAATATCTGTAAAGAATTTTCTAGCTACTAACTTAATCTATTCTGAAGAGCCTTTTCTATTCTCCATACATAGTGTACTTTCCATTTAGGCAGAACTGGCCGGCCAGTCCGCTCTATTTAGAGGTATATCATGCTTTTTGTTAGCATTTTTCAGTCATTTCGAGGTTTTCTATAGAATAATGGATAGAATTTGAAATTTGAATTTCCCAACTAAATAGGAATGATATATAATGACATTTTCTCTGGGTCTGGCCAGCCAGTTCTGACAGATGGAAAGCAACCATAAATGGCTTTAAATAGACATCTTTGACACCTTAAAGAATTGCATTTGTATTGTTAGCGAGATGGCAGTATTGAAGAAAGGTATTAAAAATGTTTATTCAGCAAGTTGATATTAAGTGTTCAATACTATGACCTCATGATCAAGTTGTCCGCACGGGTTGACACTTATTGATAAGTTATAGAAAAAAAAAATGATGTATAGACTAGTTACCTTTCAATCCTTGAGGAGGTCTTGCGACTGGATCCATGACGATTTCATCAGGAAGCGCTTTGTCCAATTTACTGGTTTTGCCACGCTTAGTGAGTTGAAAGCGACGCGCTGAAACTGCAAAGAACCAGCAATAAGTCCAAATATGTCATTATTCCTAAAAAGGCATTCATTTTATGTTGTCCTTGCATTCACGCATTGCAAGTTTGATTCAATTTTCTTAGACTTAGAGTGCTAACTCGCTGTAAGTGTAGAGGCTGAATTCTAGGAAGCTATGGAGGAATTGCAGTCTTCCAAATATCCACGGATAACCTTCTATCTGTAAGTCTACAACCATGATTGCATTGAAGATCCGCTCATTTATTTACATGTTTTGCTTAAGAAATAACATGAGTCTTTGTGAATAATTTTCAAGTTACAAACTTCAAATAGTGCGAACAACTTTTTCTACTCTCCATACATAAATGCCTTAAAATAGACATCTTTGAGACTTTAAATAATGTTTGCATTTCTTAGCGAAAATACGTGTTAAATGAATATATTTCCAAACCCGGGGGGGGGGGAGGTACTCCCATATATTTGCTATACGGGGACGTGCCGCTGGCCAGGGTATGATTTTTGTCCTTGCTGTCTTAAACAGGGTATACATTTCACCCGAAATTGTCTTAAACAGGCTCTACAATTTAGATAAAAGACCGAGATAATTATTTTGTGTGTCTTGGACAGGGTAATATTTTCGTAAGAAATACCGTAGAAACAGTAGAAATAACGTTTCACTGTAACAGGATTAACTACAGTTTTGATGGTTGCGGCGTAGATACCGATTCCTTATTTTTCCGGTTTGTCTTGAACAGGGTATGGATTTTTACTTTCTAGTGTCTTAAACAGGGTCATGGATTTAGACCGCTGGCTGCACGTACCTATCCAAAACGGGGTCGAGTACCCTCCCCGGTTTCCAAACATTTCATCTCAGTAATGTCATATAAATTGTTCAGTACTAAGTCGTATGATTAAGAAGCCCACATGGGGTTTTGATATAGTATCGATAAGTTATAAAGAACAATGTGATGTATAGAGTAGTTACCTTTCACTGAAGGCTTCCCTGAAACAGATTCTGCCCCCAACAATAAAAGTACGGCAACCATCAAGATTAGCTTACACTTCATGATTCACCTAAAAAACAAACACGTGTATAAATAATCTCAACGAAATATCCCGTCTTCCAAATTAATGTGGAAGACCATGATAGTAGTAAAGGCTGCACAGATAAATCTCCTCACAAAATTTGAGGAGGGTAAAAATGTGAGGAGAAAATAATTATATTCAGTATTTTTTGAGGAGGTAGTTAATTTATTCACACTAATGACGTAACCTATTGTTCTCCCAAACAAAAGAGCTCTAGATAAANGGAGCTATGAACGAACAATTACAAGAGTTTCCATTGCTTGCAGTTTGGGACATTTATCAAAAGCAATAGAATGTAGTTTGGGGGGTTCGGCTATACCATCTCCGTACAGTCAAGAATTTAAATGGAAATCCACTATTTTAGAATTGTAATTTTACTATTCAGACAAGAACCACTTAATGGAACATAACGTGTCCTGCACGTTACGTTAAGTGTATAGGATTTTGCCGTGAAATATATATTTTTACAAGCGCCGCGATCGATTTGATAGATTCTGCGTATAATCTTTTCACATCATTTTTGTTTGAACATTTTTCATTCATTGCAGCGAAATTAGCATTCAGATTGCATTCGAATCATCCGCAGAGAATTTATTGGATGAATGGTCGTTTTACATTTTAGAAAGAAAAAAAGAACGAGTATATTTTAAAGCAAAAGAGAGAAAGAAAGAAAGGGGAAAAAAATGATTAGAAGCTGCTAGAGTCGAGGATCGAACCCGAGATCGTCAGTTCAGCGCCGCTATTCAAGTATGATCTTGCGTGTAAAATAAATAAAACAAATATCTAAAGGAAAAAATAGACATGAATAGAATAAGTATATTTCAGTAAAAAAAGAAAGAAGGAAAGAAAAAATAATTGTTTAGAATGAAGTGATCGAGTCGAGAATCGAACCCGCGATCCTAAGTTCGACCCTATTCGATTTTGTAGTCTGTGTAAAATCAAACTAACGGCTCGAAAGTAATTGTTAAAGGAATACCCACAGAAAAAAACAATCAGCATGAATGTAACAACTTCATTTCAGTTAAAAAGAAAGAAAGAATAAACCTCGAGTCAAAATAACAAATAACAAACGGCTCGTAAATATTGATAAAAAACAAATTGCTACGATAAAAGTCTAACACGACAAAAACAACTATATTTCAGTTAAGAAAAGAAAGAAAGAAAGAAAAAGAATGATTTTTTTCCGACATGCTCGAGTCGAAGATTGAAACTTGGAACTCTGGATTATGGGTTCCTTTGGAATGCTAAACTGCGACGTAAAAAAATAAATAAAAATAAAGTCGCTGCATTTTACAAACGTGCTACAGGCCATCAGCCTGGATACGGTAAAAACATCGAATTTATTTCAAAAATGCATTGCGGTATTGGAATGCGCTTTCACACAGCAGTGTTAAACGTTTTCTGAAATAAGTGTATACTTAAAACATATATGTAGTTGTCTGTAGCTTAGTTTTTTTTATTCAGACGTTTCGACTTGCTCTCAAATTATAGAAATAGCCATTCCAAATGTCTATAGAACACTTATACGCGCGCGCATGTTAACTCTTGAAGCTCCGCGCACGCTATATTTTACTATATACGCGCGCAAACATTGTAACGGAATTCTTTTTTTTTTTTTTTTTTTTTTACTGAAGAAGATCTGAGAGCAGATCGAAACGCTAGAGACAACTACATATATGTTTTAATCATGAAACCTAGCTGCAACAATCATATTTTTAACTGTATACTTCCTCGCTTCCTTTACGTAGCAGCTTCCACTGATCGCTGATTATTTGAGAAGCTGATTATTTGTTCCTGTCTGCTTCCCTGGTCCGTTTATTAACATTTTCTTAAGATTAAAGTGTCAAAGCTGAAGAATTGGTTACCCAAAATTTTGCTTAAACTTCAAGCTCAATATCAAAATCACAAAGAAAGTCTCCGTCAAAAAAGCCGTTACAATATTCAGCTTATTGTTTTTCAACAACTAGAATACGAAATACTATCAACCTGTCTTTCTGAATTTTTCGACCACAGTTTTGACTGTGGGTTAGTCCAGGGGGAAGTCCACAAAACGAATTACTTTTGAAACACAGACCACGTATTGACCACGTATTGACCACGATAAAAAACATCTTCACACTCAAAACACAGCCCATGTCCGCGTTTGCGTTTTTGGGGCTTTTTCTATATTGCTTTTTATAATTGTAGCATTTGCGATGCAAAGAAAGTTTAACTAGTCACCAGATTTATGTTTTCACTTTTCCAATGTGATGTGTA